GTGTTTTTATTTTTTGTTGTTGTTGTTGAGTTTGTCAGTGTCTAACTGTGGTCAAATGCTTCCCATGCAATTTACTTCATTTTGGATTACAGATCGTCTCCTTATGGAACGTTCTTTAAAATACAACCCAACTGTGAGCAGGTCCTCCTCTTTATCAACAAGAACCCTGAAATATTACTTATTTTTGGAAAACTGGATAATTTTGATTTTGAGTTATATAAATGGAGAAGCAGGTTTTCTATTTTTTTTAAACACTGAAAGACACAAAGTAAAAATAAAACAAACAAAAAACACCCTTAAAGAAAGTTAATGATTCTGTCTGTTGCTTTGAATTAAGAATAGGTCTATTGCAGATGGTATAAAATAATGATTATAGGTGGGAATTTGGAACAAAACAAAATGGATTGAGTACATCACTGCCATTAAATGTTGTAAAACTATGATTGCATTTCATTTTCCACTTTTATGGAAATAAGAGAATGATGATAACAGTATCCACCTCAATGACCTCGATGCTATATCCTAATGTTCTCAGAAACTAGCTACTGCAGTTATTACCGAAGTGTGGAGTGTGGCTACGTCATTAGCTGGTTATCCTTCATTTGCATGGCACTTATGGGGTCTGGCTTATAACTACTCTATGTAAAATGCATGGATTAGTCATGCAGCATTTAATGTTTGACTTCTAGAGCCTAGATGGCTGAAGAGGTGATTGCTGAAGAGTTGACAAGGTAAGAAACAGGGGCTTTTTCTTCATCACACTTTCCTCAGGTAACAGCCATCACTTGAAGAAGGATGCACTATGAGATTCAGTCATCCCGATCATACTCGTCATGCCCACTAAGGGTGCTAGACTTCTGGAATGGAAGTGAATTTGATACCCAATGACTCAGACCCTGCATTATATGCCACTGTGTGCTGATGGTCAACAAGATGGAAGGGGGTGTCAACAGCAGAAGAAAGACAGTCTGGAGGGCTAAGAGCTTCACCCTACCTGACTGAAGATCAGAGAACATTTATAAAACAAATAGTCTCCAAGGTAATTATGGGTGTCCTGATAAAGTGGAAAATGCCAAAATAGAGCTATTTCTGCAGGTTTCCTCCTTCTTCCTTGTTTATCTGGATATAGCCCCAATTCAGGCTCATGTTACCTCCACCATCCTACCAGACCATTGATGACTGTCACTTTCTATTTATCTTTGCTTGGGATCTTTCAAACTGTCCTGTGTTTCCTTTCAAAATTGGCAACAGACATTGAAAACATGCTAAAAATTTGTAAGTCTCAATTTAGACGTCTAGAATTCTTAGTTTATTAATTCCTTCTGACATGCCCCAGATGTCTCTAGAGAAATTAGTAGTAGAACAAGGTTAATGTAGCTGCCTCACAGTGATGCAGATTCATTATGACTGACTGACTGCTTCCTTACGAATCTGAGCAAGTCTAATTGAGTTTAAACCCAAAAGGACTGCACCAGAGAACCCATCACCCGTCTAGTCTTCATCAATTTTAAGAGGTACATTATTTTTATAACAAGTAAGGATTATCAGCCTTTGTGTACTTTTATCCATCGGGCCCCATTGTATGGAGGTGAGGCTGACAGATAACATATTAAGTCCACCCTCTTTGGGAAAGGGTTAGGGAAACCAGAGAGACTGAATTAATTTCAATATCTTCAGTCTCCCACATGTCAAATCTTGTGGATCCTAGGACACCCATATTCAGGGCTTACAGCTGAAACTCAAGTGAGCCTTCTAGATGAACTAAAGAGGTTGTTACTTCTTTAAATATCTCTCCTGTTCTGCTCCCTCTCTCTGTTCCCACCACTATCAGCCAGATGCTCATTAGTTCTATTTCCACACTGCAGTGGCCTCTACCAGTTTCCTCGGTTCATACTGTCCAATTTAACCAAACTAGTGTTTCTGAGAGGCGGCAAAGAACTGATGCTAGTGACTTCTCTGATCTATTTGATCCTTTCCTTTTTCCTCTCATTCTTTACAGCACACCAGGAAAATGTTTCTGAAGACTAATTTCCATCATACAACTCCTCTGCTCAAAACTTCCAAAGGCTGGCCACTGGAATACAATCTACACCTTTGTATGCCCTCCCTAGTGAGAATTTTCTTCTAATGTCCCTTGAAATGGACCCATGTCCCAGCTCAGCCATCTTATCAGTGGCCAGAGACCTTGGTAACTTTAAGCCTGTGTCCAGGGCTTCCTATCCAGAATGTTCTTCTTATCATTTATAAGTACTCTGCATGCTTTAGAGGTCAGCGCAGCTTTGGCTGAATCACTAACTCTCTCAGATGCGCTGGCAGGTATTGCTCCTGAAAGGAGTAGTTTTGCCTTTTCATTATGTGTCTATCCACCTGCTGTCATATACACTCAAGACTACTTTGTTACCTAACACGATATTCTGCTTACTATAGCCATGTTGGCTAAATAAGGACTATACAAAAGAGTTTGTTTTGTGATAGTTTATCTTTCTCAAGGGAAATATGGCATCAAAGCCATAAAAGGTATATAGTTCTTAAAAGGAACATTATTTATTTTTAGAGTTAGTATTAGCAATTCTAATTCTAGAAATAAATTAGGGAAACCTCAGAGATGCTTCTGAAGATAGGCACATTGCTGCTGAATACGTTCACTGTTGTGCTTTTGTGGAGTAAAGAAAGTGGGAACCTGTAAGAAGACAGGCAAGTGAGCCCACCTAGGTACCCAGCAGAGCTCACAAAACTACATTGCTGTGATTAACTAACATGAGAGACAGTTCATAAAGTATCAACAAGTGTACAAGGCAGGTGATTAAAAAAAAAACAAAACATGCAGCACATCCTCAGATAAGGTTGGTTTGTTCAATGTCCATTTGTTGTGACATTGATGAGAAAAAAGATCGATAGATCAATTCCCAGCTGGGGCTAATGTCTGTGTGGAGTCTATCCTCCACAAGGCTGTGTTTTTTTTGTTGTTGTTTTGTTTTTTTTTTTGTTTTTTTTCTGGTATTTCTGCTTCTTTCTACATCCTAAAAATGTGCCAGTTTTTTGGTGCTTAACAATTGCTCAGTCTGAGAGAGTAAGGGAGTGATTATGGGGTCCCCTCCAGAGGGTTCCCACATTGTCCCCTAAGCTTCTGGGACAGGCTCTGACCACCTGAGACTCTGAATTGCAATAAGTAGTTTGTTATAAGCAAAGTGTCATTTAGTATTAGAAGTGTTTGGAGTCTTTTTTATTTTGATAGTTTGTATTTGTTTTCTTACACTGTTGTGCATTTTGGACAGTACTTGAGTTCTTCCCTGAGGTCTAGTTCTGTAGTTCTCCCACCACCACAGTCCCTTGTGCTCACTCCCCTGATTTGACCCCTCAACCTCCCCGAGCCCTGCTTTAGCCTCAGCTCTATGGTCAGTTTTCAAGTTTTGTATTTTTTCTGAACTCTTTCTTTGGTTCCTCTATATTCCACATACAAGTGAAACCATCCAATAGTTACCATTTTTCTTCCATTTTACCATTAACTTAGCATAATGCCTTATAGCTCTATCCAGGTTGTTGCAAATGTCATGAGTTTATTTTTCTGAGTAGTAATGGTAATGTTCTTGTAACCAGAAACATAGTGCAGGGAAACATAACTCTTGCTTCTAGCAATTAACCTATGATGAAATGGTTTCTTAATGTCATGCTGAAAGTTACGGTTTTCAAGAACATATCAAGAACATTAAGTGAGGACACACTTTAGCATGAGTATTTGACTTTTATTAGCTAACTAGATGGACACTGGGTCTCTTTCAGGAAGGCTCACATGGGCTTCTTTCCTTTGTGGTTTTCTATGCATTAAACTTTGAGGCACTGAACTACAGTGTTATTCATTAGTTGAATGGTTCCCTTAGAAGGAAATTTGTTCTTTTGAACCACAAATACTGACTTGGATGGATATATACTCATAGGGCAGTTTCACACAAATCTGTGTTTAATTGGACTCTAGTAAAACAGCACCAAGTGAGAGACATTCTGCTGTTATGGAAACAACATTCATTGAACTAGGGTTTGAGAATCACAACCACATTGTGGTGCTACTGAAGAATTCCTTCCAGCTCCAGGGCAGTCGTGCATTTTTCTTGATCATTACTTTTCTGATATACAATGGAGAATATTCTTCCCTCCTTCCATCCCCATTACAGCTTATAAAAAAAAAAAGTATAGCGATCAATCAGAAGTGATTGATCCTACAATAGGTTTCTAAAATTAACAAACCTATTGTGGGAAAATCAATTAGTCTCAGGTGGGACTGTCATCAAGTGAGAAGAAACCACCTCTGACAGCTTTAGCCTCTAATAGTATCACAGTCTTAAATCACAAGTGATGCTGTCCCATGCTGAAGTGCAGAGTCCAAGATGCTGATTTAATAGCCATGGTGTCTTTGTTAAATAAGTTTCAAACCAAAACCAAGCCATTTCAGGACAACATTCCTGATTATCTCTAAGTATTCTATTCTTTAAAAAGTATTTCCCACAATACTTTGCAGATTATTTTCTTTCTTTCTTTTTTACTAGAAAAATAGATCACACAGAAATTTTAATAGAAGAAGTACGTTGGGTTTCAGATCAATAATTTACAGACAGAAAATTTAAAACTTTGACAAGCTCATTGTGAAAGGAGCAAGGTACTATTCTTTCTTTTGACAAAGATTTTGATGTTGAATATAATTCACAAACATGGCAAGAAATCATGAATTAGTCACATAAATACCATGTACATATTTACAGATACGCACAATTGAAAGCTCTGGTCACGTGACTGAAGGTGCATATTGAAAGCTTCTTGACATAAACACACACACCCACGTCACAACTGCCTGTCCCAAGACACACAGAAATACCCCAATATCCCACAGAACACCCTCACCAAAGTTACATCCAGTCTCATAAAAGAAAAAGAAAAAGAGAGCAAGAAGCTCTCTTCCCTTGAAGGGAAGGCAGGGCCTCCTGACCCCAGAAGACATCTTGACTCACCTGTTAAGTGGTTGGCAATCCTGGCAGTGGGTTTGGGAGGCAGGGCAGGGGGTTGCTTGAGAAGGGACAGCTGCTTCACTGGGGTCTCCTCATGGTCTCCAGGGAAAGCAGCAGGTTTTTTGGGGGGCAGTAGCAGGACTGGTTTGGCTGAAGGATCTTGGGACAGGAGGACTCCAGACTCACTGGCAGAGGGACTCTCTTCAGACACTGAGGGTACAACCATATGACACACAGGAGACATTACACAAACGCAGTGCAAGCAGGGCTGGTGGGGACATAGGACAGAGATGAGGATTAGCCACACAGCACAGTGTTGACTGTTCCAGGTTGTCACAGTAATGTTAAAGAGAGGACACCAGCAATCCATTAAAGTGGAGGAAACAGCAAGGAGGCAGGGGAAGAGAAAGGTAGCCATGACAGAGTGAAAGGGACAAAAAGGAATAGGGAATTTTCTAAAAACCACCCAAAATCTTTAGTGCTGCAGTCTTAGCATCTACATGGCAGAGTGTAGGGGGCTCTCACATGTGACTCTTGGGGGCCACAGTGGCAATCATAAAAGAATAGGTATAGTGCATCAAGAAGAAAAGTCCCCTCTGACCAAGCCAGGACCGGAGAGCAGGGCTCTCCTCAGTCTGTCTTCCCTTTACTAGGGAGGAAGGGGATAGATTTCGAGGTCTTATTTTGGCTGCTGGGTCTCACTGAGTCCCTGCTCCCAGGTCTGGGACATCAGGAAACAAAACAGCCAAGAAGGCTGACAGGAGGCTGGCCACCCTCACACCAGGGCTGCTCCTTTGGGCCCTGGAACCTGTGGGGTTGGGAAGCAGCCTCTACCTGGGCTGTCTGCAATCTGAAGGGCACCTTCCTGTCATCAGCTCTACCTGTGCTGACAAGGTGAAAGGTACTCCAGGTCAACATCTATTGAGTCTTCTCCCTTTCTTCCTCCTCTCACTTGCTTTGATTTTCCCATTTCTCTTTGCTCTGAATTAAGCCTCACTCTCCTTTTCTCCCTCCTGAGGGAGAGGAACCCATCGGCTCTGGTTAGGATCTATCACAGGCTCTCTTGTCATGCTGATAGCCTGCTGATGACAGACTAAAACTCTAATGTTTCTGGGATTGACCTCACTTTAACGGCCAAAAGCTTCTGAGTCCAATGTCACAAGGAAGACTGGATTAAAAACAACAACAACACAATTTACTGCTTTAGCAGAAGGTCAAGGTAAGGGAGGGAAATGGAACTCAGTTGCATGTTCTCCTTCCTCTCACAGAATGCCTCTAAATAACTTCTCCCCTGCCTTTCTCTCTGATCCAGGCAGCTGTGTTCCCTGAAGCAGCAATGCCCTGCAAGTTATCTTCACAAGTACAACATTCTTCTCTGTCTCAAGGACACTGCTATTATCAATGTTGGTCACACGGATGGAGCAGGCCCCAGGGTAAAGCTTGTGGAATGTTTGGGAAGCTCTGTCTTTTCCATCCTCCCACCTGAGCTCTTGTACAGGGTGGGGAAAAGGGACCCAAACTTCAGATATTCATAGTAGTCCCTTCTCCCAGGGGGTATCCTGACAATAAAGATCACTGCCTGCTGTTGTCAGGAGATTCCCATCTACAGGCCAATGGGTATCATACTGCCGAATTCTCAGGGATGAATACTCATCCCACAGGAGGCCTTGGAACAAAGAGGGAGGTGGCTATGAGAGGGCATCATAAATTATCTGTCATCAAGAGACAATGTAACCAGTACACACTGCACAACTTAATGGACAATTAACATACTAATTAATTTCATATAGTATATAGTTTGTTAAACTGCTATCACCACTAACTGGTATATTGGGACCAGAACTAAAGAATATGCCAGGGGTCTTTGAGTAGGAGAATTGAGTAAATATCATATAGAGGCATGCTAGTGTTTAGAAAACAAAATAATGACGTTTAAAATCATCAATATTAAAAGACAAGGCACATATTCTTTAATGAGACAAAGTTATAAAAATATTTTTAAAAACTATTATATGGGACAATAAGCATAAATATCTTCCCTGTTTCCATACCATAGTTGAGCATGGGGAGATCCTTAAGATCAGGGTGGTTCAATCAGACCAATCAGACCAAAGGTCCCGAAGGCCACATTCTGGCACCTGCTCTGGAATGGCGGGGCATTACCTGTCCCATCCATGATGTCTGAAGGTTGGAGCACCTCATACGAGCAGGGATCCCCAGGCATTGGGACTGGCTCCATTTCGGACAGGGCTGGCAGAGACAGCTGGCTGGAGCTCAGAGATGGCCCGTTTTCCAAGGAGTCATCTTCGTTCGATATGGACAGCTCCCCATCTGTCAGAGAAGAGGAGACCGCGGGTTAGACCACACTGCCTTCCAGGGATGGCGTCCCAGTCTATGAAGGAGGCCAGATGCTGCTGAGCGACCTTTCTCAAGGTCAGTATGTGAAGTCTACAGTTTTTCTTTTGCTTTTAAGGCATTTATATTCTTTTTAGAGATATGGTATCTGTCAATTTCTAACCATAATCACTACATTTTGTATATACTTTTCACTGAATGTTAATTAAATTAACTTTCTTTATACTTTTTTAAAGCTTGAAAAAACCAAGCAGTATTCAGAGATTGGAAACCAGGATTAAGCGTTCCTTCCTTAGGGATGAAAGGGATTCAAATCACTGAGTGCATGCAAAGAGTGTGGCACTCCAAAGCTCACTGGAAAAACTCATCATGTCTTATTTTTTTCTCTGCCTAGACTCCAGTTGATGGGCTGCACAGCCCACGGATGCTGGGAGATACCATAACACCACTCCCCCAATGCCCACCCTGATTCACTCCTGCGGACCAGCAGACTTTGTTTTCACATAAAGCCTCCAGGACAAGGGGCCTCTAGTTATACCATAGTAGGGGGCCAAAGGTGCACAAACAATGGCCACTTGTCAAATAAAAATTCCCAGTGTGGCTTCATCCTCACTCAATGGAGTCCTGCATAACTAGACATTGAAGTCAAATAAATTTTTAAAGAGGACTGAAAGCTGTTGGGTGAATACATATCCAGATGAAAGACTCTAAGTTATGCTTAGTTAGAAAGTAACAAAGCAATTACCTGCCTTAAACCTAAAGAAATATTTCCTTGTAGAAATGAAGAGTGAAAAGATTCCAAGGTTATTCTGATATGAAATAATCATTTACTTTTGCTAGGTTACTCCAAAGGTTTAATTTTATATCACAATGACATATGGTGGCAAATTATTCCTCTGCCACCTCCCCACCCCCCAATTAAAAGTGGCACCAGGAAATGTATTTTCAAGAGAGTGATCTACAAACTGCCAGGATTCAGATAGCATGCTGTGTAAGGACATGTGATATTTTACTTAAATCTTTTTTGAACATAGGAAAAAATATAATGTGTACCCCCCAAAAAGTCATCAGAAACAGATGATATAAAACACTGAACAGTGTGTTTTTTCCTTCTTTTAATTTGGACTTGTTGGTCAGGATTCCACACATTGTATAATAATATGATTACTTTCCACATTAATAAGACCAGAGAATCAGTGTAGACTCTAGGACCAATGCTAAGAACAGAGTTAAACTGAGAGTATTTATGATGGGTGTGCATTTAATGCTTTACCATCCTCCAATGACCCTAACAGCCTGAACATGTTTTAATTTAGCATGTTCAAACTGATGCAGTGGGAAATAGCTCTGCTTAAAGCTCCCAGATGCTGAAGTAATAATGCAGCTGTCATTCAGTTAATACATCTTCAGGAAACCACTTTGATTTTTGGTGTTTCAAGTACAATAAAAGTCCTGGATAAGATAATCAGAGGAGGAGGGAATTAGAGCTGCTATGGAATTTTGTTCCTTTGGGGCAAAAATGCAATAAAAAGACAGCTCTACATTTTAATAGTTAACAGTATCATGGCTGACCATTAGGGAGAAGGCAACAACTATGGGAAAACTGTAAAGGTAAACTTTGCAGACTCTATGAATCTTGGTAGCTGGCTTCTGCCGGAAGATTTGCTAGTAACAAAGCATTATTAATTATACCTCTTAGAACTTATTAACTCTCAAAAAATTTAGCTTTAGATTAAAAGTTGTTAAGTCACAAAGCCCAATCACTTTGGAGAAGAAAATGGGAATTTCATTGGCATAATTTCTAAATACATATTTCCATTGAAAAAATAAAATTGGGAGAAAAAATAAATTGATCATACCATACTCTGATAATACCATTATCCCCCTTAGAGAAAGTTTCTATATTGGTACACATTTTCCATAGTTGTAATCCTGCTGCTATCAAATTTTTGTTTTTACTTTTATAAGAATTATAGTTTGCATAATTAGTTTCTGAATGGACATAGTAGATGAATAAATAGACATTTAGATAGAGCCCTATAGTTGGTTACATAGGGACTGCCAATCTTTATGCTGTTATAACAGAAGAAAGCTCCGCTAGCCATTTTCTCTTTAACGTATACTCTCTACTCTGCAATTAGCATATTTCCTCTTCAGGAGAGGTTCAGTGAGTAAAGCCTATGTGTATTAATATGTTAATATCTAGTAACACAAACTTGGTCTTGTAAAATCATATTTCTAAAAGGTTTTTCAATTCATACAAAAACAATATACAGACCACACACATTTCTTAACTTTCAGTCACTTATTCAACATTACCATCAATATCTTGTTTCCCTCCCCGCAACCCCCATCCTCTTTCCCTCCTTTCCTTCCCTCTTTCTCATCTACCTATACAAACCTAGTAGAAATAAATCAAGCCATCAATATATATAACACAGTTCTTATTACTATCTTTTTTTAACCATGATTGGTAGTAGACACAAGTGAAGAGCATTTGATTTGAATTCATATAACATGGAGCTAGAACGATGTTGTCTCTATTTAGAAGTTATTATTGTAAAGCCTTTGTGATGGCATTTTCAAACATATACAAAATAGTCATCATTAAGCAAGCTAATTAGCTGGGAACTCCTAATGTTTCATAATTCCAAGTTTGATTAATATGAAGATTATTTAGGTTCTTTGTGGCTTTACAGCTTATCAGCACTGTTTATGAACATCTTTGTGAAAAATGTCAGCCTCTTTACTAGGATTATTTTTAGTAGAATTTTTAGAAAAAACATTTCCCCATAAGAATTTCCCCTACTGATTAAGACAAGTATTATGGATGCTTAGTGCCTTCATCTACCCAGATCAAGGACATCTCCTGTTACCATGGAGGAGAAAGAGCTTCCTGAGTATTTGAAATTATCTTGATGTTTTACTACATAATTTTCTGAAATGATTTTCACAGCAGCACTCTATGACTCCAGTTACATTTCATATCAAAATCAGCGAAGTGTAAATAGGAAGAAAAATGCAGCAGAAATCAGATGGTTTGAGGAGTTGCTTCTCAGACTTCAGCAGGCATCCAATTGCCAAGAGGGTAGTGAATAAAGAGATCTCAGGGTACCACCCCTAGTGCTTCTGACTGGTAGGTTGATGGTAGCACTGAACATCTCTACCATGCTCTTTAGTGATGGTGAAACCATTTTTTCTGGTCAAGTTCTAAACTTTGAGAATCAGAGGAAGGTAGGTAAGGGATCTGAGTGGCCTTGGCAACAGTGCCGTGACATGATGAGGTTTAGGGCAGGTTATGCTGTTAGGTGGCAAGAGTTGGTTTAAACTACAACAAGGGCGAGAAAGCAATTGCGCATTTCAACCTTGGAGTATGAATATAAACTTGTTCAGGAAGTACAAGGGGACTTGTAGGAGAAGTAGGAGGCAGAAGAAAGGCAAAAATACGAGATAGGCAGTATGTCTAACGGGTAAAAATGGCCATAGAAGTGGTAGAGAATAGAATGTGGACCTGAGGTTAGCAGTATTGTGAATTTTATATTTGTTTTTAATGTTTTGTGAGTTTTAAATGATGTAGGAAAATAAAGATGTTAGATCTAGGACTGCTTCCTGGAAACTGCTGGCTTTATTCTTCCTGTGAAGAATAAAAAATACTGTGAAATATTTTGCTCTGAGAGGGTTCAGGGTACATGATTCCTTGAAGATGAAGATTATAAAAGTATCAACTTTAATTCTATAAGAGAAAAAAAACTCCAACATAAACTCACCACTGAGTCTGATTTTTGAGGATATAAATTATGGTTTACATAAAAACCTGTATATTTCCAGTTGAATAACAATGACCTCATTTAAAAAATCACTGAATGAGCCTAAAAAGCAGGTGCACATCTGTGCGCTGAGCCACACTGTAGTGAATTTCACATGAATCAAAAAACTAAACTAAAACTTTAAAACTAGAACAAACATACATTCACTTGTTCAGATTGTATAAGAGGAAAGTTAATCATAAAACTTTTAATTTGCAAAATAAAGTGCTGTGCACTTAATACAAGAAAAGAGCAGCAGCTTGAGGAAATACCAGCTAAACAGAGCTAATGAGAGGATAACTATTCCAAGTATAAAGACTATTTGAACAAATAAATAAAATCAAGTCACAGGTGCCACTTTGAAAATACATGACCTTGCTAAGAATGAAAGAAAGAAATGCAAATGAAATGACCAAGTGGGTGACACGGATGCATAAAAATGTGTTTAAATAATGTCAAGTATAAAAGCAGAAGTGGAGAACAATATGTACATGCTGATTATAATCACATCAAAATGAAATAGGTATGCAGGTTGGCAAAGATCCACAGTGAATTTCGCAAGACCTAAGTAGAGCTTAATGACCACAATTTTTTTTCTATAAAAATGCTTATTTTTATAAAACATTAAAATAGTACATGCTGCCTGCTAAACATGGAGCTTCCCTACGACCCAGCAATCCCACTCCTAGGTATCTACCCAAAAGACACAAAAACACTGATTGAAAAA